TATATATATATACAAAGTCAGTAGAAATAGCTGCACCTTTACCAACTTTGATAACACTTTAATGCATCAATAATTATAATCAAAACATATAATATATATGATTCTGAAATGGGCCAATCTGCATAATGAAAACTTTTACTTTTAGTACTTTATTAAGTATATTTTGATGCTTACACTTTTGTACTTTTACTTGAGTAACTTATGCAATGCGGGATTTTTAATGTAGGCCTACTTCAAAACAACAGATAAAGCTAGAAATCTAGGTGTAGTCATTGACTCTGACCTGAGTTTCAACAGTCACATTAAAACAATTACTAAATCAGCCCACCATCACCTAAAGAACATATCTAGGATTAAAAGACTAATGTCACAGCAGGATTTTGAAAAACTTGACCATGCTTTTATCTTCAGCAGAGTGGACTACTGTAATGGTGTCTTCACAGGTCTCACTAAAAAATCTATTAGAAAGCTGCAGCTGATTCAGAACACCGCTGCTCGAGTCCTCACTAACACTAAGAAAGTGGATCACATCACTCCTGTTCTGAAGTCTTTACACTAGCTTCCTGTGTCTCAAAGACTTGATTTCAAAATACTGCTGCTGGTTTATAAAGCGCTGAATGGTTTAGGCCCAAAATACATGTATGACCTTCTACTAAATTATGAACCATCCAGATCTCTCAGGTCTTCAGGGACTGGTCAGCTTTCTGTCCCCAGAGTCAGAACTAAACATGGTNTTCTCTTTTGTCTTTTTTCGTAAGTTCAACATTTATAAGATGGATTTTTTAGGTTGTACCTATATCGAGAAAAAAAGTGTCGTCGTAACTAGTCAAGTCGAACACGTCGTAACCTAGTTTTGATTTTTTATTTCGGAAAGTCCATGACAAGAATTTGGGACGAGTTTTTAATTCCTGGTGACCGCGGGGACGGGTGAGACAACGGTCTAAACCCATAAAGGTCGGATCGGGAAAAATCTGTATCGGCAAATTGTCAAAATCAAATGAACGGAATCGAATCGGGAGCAAAAAAAGGCGATCGGGACATCCCTATCCACACATCAAAGAAAAACATTTCACCACCAAACCTTCCTATTAGCCACCAATGCTAAATATCACTGTAACCTGATACTCAAGTCCAAAGTAGAACAAACTAAAAAGATTACTCTATAAAGTATTTTAAAGTCCCCTTTTTACGATAACTGCTTTACTGTCTTCAATGGTTCTGAACAAACAGTGATGTAACATTTTGGCATGCAGTACTGTACACACATTTTGTATTATTCGAACCATGGCGTGCTACGTTTCAGTGCTGAACAGAGAGACAATCGCCCATGTGTTTTTTCTTTTTAAATGTGTGTGTCTGTAGATGAATCTTGCCTGTGTATCTGTGGACTGGAAAAGAGAACAGCAAGCACATGAGCTTATTCAGGAAATAATCTCAGTGACTATTGTACATTTAATTGATTCATTCATGCCATGCTGGTGCATATTTCATTATTTTACATAAAGAAGAATTTAGTCAACATTATTTTTGAAGAAAAATGGTGAAAAGCAAAATCAGTGAAAGCAATTTGAAGTGACTAAACAATCTGTAAGATGATGAAGTAAAGTAAAAATGCAATCAATGAGACTTAACTAAGGCCCTCTTAAAGCTTTACAGCCCAGTCCAGGTCTGACTTTAACCTCTATATCCTACTTTAGCAAACCACAGGACTTCGGTTTAGTCAGTTATCTTCCTCTAATCTCTCTGGCAGGATTACTTGTTGTTAGTCTTTCATCTAGTTCCCTTGCAAACATGACATTTTGAACCAGCGCTGACACACTTTCCAGCACCGTTCGTGTCTTCCTTATCCGTTGTCAAACAAAGAACTGTGTGTCGTATTTTAAAAGGCTTAAGAAAGTGTACAGCCGTTTCCCTCTGAAATGAGAAAGCACATGTCCTTGTGGTTTTATGAGCACACAACATGATCCTCGGTGAGTGTGTACCTTGTTGATCCAGGTGGCGATAGCGTCCTCTGTGTCATACGGCAGCTCCTGAATGTGTCCGTCACCGTGTGAGAGGTCGGCGGAGGAGTACCTGTTGATGCACGACATCACCCTCTCCACACTCACCATCTCCACAGTGTACGCCATCATCAGGGTATCAATGAGGGCCAGGTGGGAACTCTGTAAAGACATAAGGACATTGCGAGGATTAATGTACAATTATTTTCGAAAGCATCAAACTTACAATTAAAGGCCAAACCTTATGTTTCCATATTGTGATTATCTGTGCATCACTTTGACTATGGAGCAACACTTTCTATTTTTGAGTTGCCTAAAACCTTTGATTAAATAAAAGATCGTCAGTTGTGTTCTCTTAAAAAAAGAAGAAGAAGGATTTAACCTTTTGCATACAGCTGCAAAAACCATCCAAAAACCATCTAAAGGACAACAATTAGAATTTTACAACACACATTTAATAAATGTCACATCTCCTCATTTTGTAACAATCCAACATTTACACTCCACCTCCCTTTCCCGGAGTGTTTCCAACTATTAATCATGAAGTCATTTCTTGTGAAATCAAATTCCTTACGCACTGTTGGAAAAGGGGAAAGGATTAGAGTTGGGAAATATGACGTGATATTCTGTGTACAGGAATACAAATGTACTCAAACTGGGACAATGCGCTCCAGAATCTTAAAGGTCCCATGTCATGCTTTTCCGGTTATTACCCGGCATGTAAACGGTCTGCAGAGTCAAAACCCTCAAAGTACACCCTGCAGCGAGTAAAACTCTAACACAGAAAATACCTCCCCAAAACGCCTCGTTGGAGATACGTCACTGTCCATTGATTCTTCCGGGTAACTCATGATGTCATGCGTTTCACGGAACCAAATGGACCAATCCGTGGAGCCGTTACGTTACGTACGCGGAGCCGTTACGTTAAGCCCCCGCTGATTGGTCCAAATTGACCAATCCACGGACTTCCTCACACACACACTCAGTGCATGCAGCTCTGCTGATCTCTCCTCCCTGGCTGCAGGCTGATAACAGACAGTTGGGATCGCGGCGAAATTCTCTCTGCAGACCCATTCTCACTGCGTTTATCAACCTTTTTCTTACTCAATATCAAGCCACACTTATTGCTTTTACTTCGGCTGTGACTTTGTGTGTGCTCAGGGTGAGTTTGGCTGTGTTTCGCTGTGTATCGCTAAACAAGGAAACCACACCTCCACGGAGCTCAGCGCGATTCACAACGTCACAGGGAGGGTGGGGGCTGGAGCTATTGGAGCTACAACGAGCCGTTAAAGGCAGAGAGTGAAATTCAGTGAATACACGTAGTTTACAGAGATGCTGTATGAGAAACCAAAGTGATTTTGGAAAATTGCACAATATAAATCTATTCTAGTAGACCTCAACAATGGAATTATGATCAGTGGAAATGGCCATGAAATGGGACCTTTAACACCAAAGACCCCCAGAGCCAGTAACAAATACAAAATCTCAATTGGTTTCAATTTTAATCAAATTGTCTTTCCTTCCTCTGTGTGGATTGCACACGTTTGTTTGTTTGTTTGTTTGTTTGTTTGTTTGTTTGCCCTAGATTATTATCAGTCCTACAACTCCTAAAAATCTATGATGCTCCAAACCTCCAAACTCTTGTCTTGGGATTTTAACTGAGGCAGCTTTGTGGACATCAGGAAGTTCCTGAGATTTCAGCTAAATGGGATCCTTTGAAGTTTATCTTTAGAGAATCAAAGTTGCTGAAAGCTATCTGTCCAAAAGTCGATTATTTTTCTCCCATGTCCCTTTAGGGGCTCTGTATGTTTCCGTGGGAGACTAAAACGTTTTACACACACAAGTTCTGTTGTAGAACAAGTTTGATGCCATGTTGTCGTGTGGCATCTGAACATACATTTAATTCTGCTATTTATCATTGTGATTGCATGATTAAGATATTATAATAATAAGAAAATTCTAACGCTAGGTTAACAGCAAATTAGTGCAACAATATCTGGATCATATGATAACAATGTATTTTTCATGTTTCGGTGTAGATCTTTCTTCATTTTCTAATGTTTTCTTCATTTTAGGTGAGGTAAGCTCTCAGGCCCAACAGAGTACAACCCGTCTGAATCACACTCCTAACTGTCTGTACATAGCACTACTTTTATAGCGCACAAATTACCTAATGGCCTACCAGCCCTCAACACCTACAGCACACAAAGCTTGACATTCTGCTAGCCTTTCTGATCCCATTCCAGACCGGTCAGACCTCTCCTTCCCTTTCCTGTCATAACACCAGGTCAGCTCAAAAACATCTACATTCTCTGTGTGTGTGTGTGCGTGCGTGTGTGTGTGCAACCTTAATAAACATACACCTAATGTTAGGAGCTCCAGGTGACTCATACAAACACACACAAACAAGCAGTGAGATTTCTCCCGTACTGTCAAGCACAGGCGGCTATTCATAACCACAGAGCCTCCTGTAACAGCCAGAGTGACCACGTTTTTCCCAAAGAAACAAGCAACAGATCCAGATTTACAACTCTGGACTGCTGCTGGTGCTCTACATCTGCCCGTCCAAACAGACAGTGTGTACAGAGGAAATATGGCTGTAAGACACAAACTTCTTATGGAAATAAGTGCGGAGAAAAAGAAGAAACTGGACTTATGTGTCATCTGATGTTCTCATTAAATCTAGTGGATTTTACCAAAGGAATAATAGCTAAACAATCTTATTGTAAACTACAGTTGTTTGTAGACGCTGAAACAGTGCTGACGTGTGTATAACGATATATGCTGGTGGACAAACAGTTTGTTATATTGAATGCTTCAGTTGTAGCGTGTTAAATGGGTAAACATGATTGTTTGGATTGCAGGCTGACACTGTCTAAGAAACAGTCTGCACACAGTTTGTTCCTGCATCTTCAGGATATTGGCAGATTTTTGACATTGCATGCATTCTCCTCCGAGGGTACAGTAGCCGGTCTGGCTGACAGATGGACAGAGAGAGAGAGAGAGAGAGACAGACAGAGAGAGAGAGAGGCAGACAGAGGGTGAGACAGATAGAAGGAGAGACAGAGAGAGAGAGACAGAGACAGAGAGAGAGAGGCAGAGAGAGAGAGGCAGAGAGAGAGAGAGATAGAGAGGCCCAAGCAGCTTACACTGGAGCTGCAGATCCAGAAAACTCAATTTTCATGATCACACTGAGCTTTTGCTGTGATTGAAGGTTTTCTGAATTCATTTGCATAAACCGCACTAAATCTTTAATATTGTTAAGAAGCTTATTGAGGTGTGAGTTTTCAGAGCATTTGGGGAGGAAGCCACATTCATTTAAATGGTAATGACAAATCACGTGTTCATTTATGTTTCATTACGATTTCTGTAAATGAACAGCTGCTTCAAAACATGGACCAATTTCGAATGCCTATATTGTTGATTGTGTACATCTTCAAAGGGACTGTACTAAAATGATAAAGGGTTTTCAAAAAGTATTTTAGAGTTGTGGTAAAATATTAAAACAATTGAATATTTACAGCATATTGCTCTCTATAAAACCACAACTTGTAATTTTTTACATTTCATGCAGAGATGAAAAAAACAAGATTGTTAAAAGTGAAACATCGTGTTCAGCCCCCGACAGTTCCAATTCATATTCATACAATCCCTAGGTACAAAAGAATGTCTTATTGTTACCATTATTAATGTGTAAGATTGAGATCGAGACTTTTTTTTGTTTTACCAGGTTATTGTTCGTCACCGTGTTGTATATGTTTGTCTGCGTCACTGTTCTCTCACTGCTTCTCATAGGACAATGTATGGAGAACTAAAGTGCATGTGTGTGTGTACATATGGGTGTGTGAACGAGACAGAGAAGGAGACAGACTGAGTATGTGGTGCCACTGCTCTCATATCCAAAGGAAAAAAGGCGACTGTTGACACTATAACAAGCCATGTGCTGTCTATTATCCCTTCAGAAAGACCTTTGGTGTGTGTGTGTGTGTGTGTGTGTGTGTGTGTGTGTGTGTGTGTGTGTGTGTGTGTGTGTGTGTGTGTGTGTGTGTGTGTGTGTGTGTGTGTGTGTGTGTGTGTGTGTGTGTGTGTGTGTGTGTGTGTGTGTGTGTGTGTGTGTGTGTGTGTGTGTGTGTGTGTGTGTGTGTGTGTGTGTGTGTGTGTGTGTGTGTGTGTGTGTGTGTGTGTGTGTGTGTGTGTGTGTGTGTAAGTGTAAGTGTGTGTGTATGTGTGTGTGTGTGTGTGCGTGTGTGTGTGTGTGTGTGTGTGTGTGTGTGTGTGGTCCTTGATCAAAGGCATCTATAGGAAAGCACAACACAGCTGAGCAAACAGATAATCAAAGTAACCTCTTTCTCCACAAAGTGTCTGTTCAGTGCAGGTACGCACTCAGACAAATCTGAGCTCCGCAAGTTTTTTTATTTGACAACTTAACACCTACATGTCTGTCTCTATTAAGATGTTAGTGTGTTTGCCATTAGATCTAATGTCCACTCTTTCTATCTTTCTCACCCACATGCATTAAACACTCCAAATCTCTCAGCGCTATTGAGCAGGAGGCTTTTAGTCGAGGGTACACGCCCCTCTGCAGGAAAATGTAATTACCGCTACGGCTCCCTCTCCTCCGCCACACTCTTGTCTTTGCATTTCAACCCTCAGAGGGCATGGTGTGTGAAATTATAAAAAGGTCGGCGAGGAACAGGAAAGTACAACTAGAAAAAGACACACAGGTGTTGAGCACACTGCAGGAGGTCTGACAGCCCTTTGGAGGTGTGTGTTGTGTGTGTGGGCTCTCATTTGTGCACCAGACGTGCATTGCCTCAATGTGAGACCCCACCCTCCACTGTGCTGCAGTACTGCACATCACGTCTTCCTCCTTTCCTCAAACCCTCCCTGCTTTCCTTTCCTCCTTCTCTTCTCGTCCTCTCCTAGTCGTCTCCCTTTTCTCTCCCCCATATTCCTGATGGCCATATTAACACTGGGGCTTTTCCACTGTTTCTCTGGCACACGCATGAGGCCTCGTCTGCCAAAAAGGAAATACCTTCCTTCTTCTCTCTGTCTTTCCTTCTTGCCTTTCCAAAGCTTTTCCCTATTTCCCCCTTTCCATTCATCCTACCGTAGATTTCCACTCCTCTCTTGCTCTACTTTCCTGCTTCCTCCTGAATTGCAGCCAATTGGCCGCCGCTAAACTCCATATTTTCCCTCCTTCTCTCTATGTATCCATTCACCCTCTGACAGACTGCCACACTCCTCCTCCTCCCTTTCGTCCCTCACTGAGTTATTATTCTGTTGCACAGTATTTGGAAAACCATGAGGTCATCATTTTTCTTCAAAGATATACCATAACCCAAAATGAAAAGCCTGGACTTTTAGCGTGACCGTAATTATCCTGCTGAGTCCACAAATACACACAGAGGCAGTCCCTCCACCGAACCAATCAGATGATTTCAGAAGGGCACAGAGCCACAAAAAGGACGAGTAGATTAACAAAATTGCCAGGCGGTGTTACACAAATGAAGGTCAATTGTTGACTGGCTACAGGCTCCATTTGTCTTCTTAAAACTGTCACTAAAACTCTAAATCATCGGCCCTGCACAGTGAGACAAAGAGAGACGAATGTTTGAAATTGAAAGGTGATGAAGGACATTAAGTGCTGCTTTTAATCGGCGTCCATCATTCCCACCTTCATGACAACCTCAATCGATGAGTGGAGTAGTGAGCGCAATCAACCGTAAACATAAAAACGCACTCTTGACTTTAAATCATCCTCTCAAGCTGTAATAAGAGAACACAAGCAGAGGGCAAATGAAATACTGGCTACATCAGAGAGAGAGAAACGGTGACATGTTTGTAATCTTCTATTAGAGATAATAAACTTTAATCTAATCCAAAAAGATAAGAGTTTAAAGGAGACAGAGGTAGGGGCTAGGAGAGGAAAATAAGACAATGAGAAGAAGAGGGATATGGAGAGAGGAAGGTGGCAAACAAAGAGTTGAAGAAAGAAATAGTAAGACAGACAGAGTGAGAGCAGGAGGGGGAGGGGGGGGGGAGAGAGGGTGCACTGCAATGCAGACACCTTTTGCTGTCAGCAGAAGTACCCGGACTCCAGCCATGTGTGTGCTAGCAGTGGGTATGGATCTGCAGCCAGACTCAAACAACATAACAAATCTATTTCCCTCTAATCATGTTCAGTAAATAATGGCAATTTTATGATTTAAACCCAAAACAATGAGCTAATTAGGCAATCAAAACAAATCTATCAATGTCATGATAATATCTGGATTCATTTATCAGGCGAAAATGCTCAAAAATGTGCTCTGAAAGCCTCCCCGATGAGCGGGTATTTCATTTAAACTGAACATCTTTGTGTTTTGGACCCGTTTTGACCAAATTAGCAATATGTGTGCATTACTTTGGCCATTGTCTTTGTCTCCTGCAAACAAATCTACTCTGATATTCAAAAAAAGAATACATTTTAAAATCAATAATTTAAATAATAGCATGTTGCAGTCCTTTTATGTTCGTCCATTCATTGCTGCACACAGTATTGACAACATACTACCAGAGTATCTCTAAGGGATGTTTGCCAGGAACTGTCTAATAACACACAGAGCGAACAGTGAGTAATGGGTTGCTATAGGAAACCCGTCATTAGCGGTTGTTTTTCCCCCAAACGGGACAGATCTTGGAGGACAGTCAAACAATCGGACACATGTAGCCGTGCATGTAAACACACTATCATATAACTTACTCACTCCCCATGAAAGAAGACACAGCAAAACACACAGTAACATTCACTGTTTTTATATCTATATATCTGCTTTTTGTCTCTGTTTCATGTCTTTTTCACAATTTTATAGACAATTAGGGAAAATAAATCCTTAGCTGTAGCCCTGGTTCATATTCTTGTGTGTGTGAGCCTATGTGTGAATTTACGGGACAGAACAGATGGAGCTGTAAATGCAGGGATCCCATTTCCCACATCTTATCACCACGGTTACTAACATATATGCATGTTTAAGTGTGAACCATAAGAAGAAAAAAGAAAAAAACTAAATTAGACTGTACTGTAAAATGCAAAACCCTCAGAAAGATGTGGATGTTTTCAGTCTTGTAATGAGCTACCTCTCACCATGTGTATGGGCGTGCTGGTCAGGTCTCTCTCTGTGACCAGGCGGTCCTGGTCAGTGACGTACAGGCCTTTCTGAGCCAGGGCCTGGATGACAGCGTTGTGTCCCAGTAACGGTTTGACAGCATCACTGCGGAGGATCAGGCTCCCCGCCCGGCAGTAGAGCTCAGCGGACTGCAGCAGGCAGGCCACCGGAGGCTTCAGGTGCTCCTGCTTGTACTGGTCCCTGTAGAGAGGCTCCACCAGGTCCTCTGGGACTGCGTCTGAGCGGAGAGAAGAGAAACAGAGAGGATTAGGGTTAGATTTAAAATACGACTCGAATGATAAATGATCATCCGATGGGATAAGTCATATTATTAGGTACTATTCCAATAATAGAATTTAAGTTGATACACTTTGGCCGTAAATCTGAGTTATATTGCCTTTTATTGACCTAACAACCGCAGCTAAACACTCCAATAGAAAATGACAGCAGGATTGCAATTTACAATATACGTTTTTTGTTGAAGTACATAAATAAATAAAGAGTTTAAAATGTTCTTTGTTTTTGTGGTGTAAACAGTTGCTATGTCAGTTCGATTTGGTTAGGTACAGTGGAATAATAACTACATTATCTTCACTTCAGGTGACCATTAACTACTGGTTATGAACTTCTTTTTTAAAACACAAAATTGTGAATTGAACCATATAGTGCATCCCTTATAAAGCTGATTCTATTTCCATTAAGCCTCTTCTTTTCTCCAGCTCCATTGCTGCTCAGACAGCATCCACAGAGAACCCAACAATGAATGCATGGAAGCGATAAAAAAGCTACTATTCTTTCTATATTTGACTGTCTCTGTTGTTGTTGCTATGGCTCCATCACACTGTAGCTCAGAGCCTCGCCTTCGTGGTCGCACCCAGCTTTTTGCACACAAATAATCACACACAAACACACCGAAAACATGGTTTGCACCACAAAACCTCCTGACCATGAGCGGAGAAAAGTATATTTTAGAGCGAAATGAGTTCAGTTAGAGGTGAGACAGTTTCCACGGAGAGATTTCACCATCATCATGTGTGTACCTGTTGGAGGTTCTCCCTGAAGATCCACACGTCTTGTGAGCACACAGTGTGTGTGTGTGTGTGTGTGTGTGTGTGTGTGTGTGTGTGTGTGTTGGTGTGTGTGTGTGTTACAAAGCATGGAGTACCTTCTAATCCTGTAACCTCATCCAGTAAATAGCCACACACACACACACACACACACACACACACACACACACACACACACACACACACACACACACACACACACACACACTCTGTCTTTATGTGTTGTTGTCAACCACATGTTGTGACTCAAAGTAGTAGTATCCTAGTCACCAGTCTGTCATTAAATTACATATGAATTGTATCTATTATTAGATAATACCATTGTATAGGAATTTGTGTGTATGTCTGTGTGTGTTTGTGTGTGTGTGGTGACACACTTTTACGGCAGTGCGTGCTTCAGTATGAATGTGTACTCCTGGTGTGTGGGGTCATTTCCTTTCTGCCTTTCTGTGAATCCCCCTGAAGGAAACAAAGGAATGAAGGAATCCATCTTAGAGGTATAGCTTTACGCTCTTCAATTCTCCAAAATAACAACACTTTAGAGGTGAAAAAAAGCTTGACAAAACAACCTCATAAAATTAAATATTTAAAGCTTAAAATCCATTAAGCTTGTGATCAAACTATGGCAGTTTTCCAACGGCTGTGGTCAGAGTCCTACCACTTCCCAGCGCTGTTTGATGAAAGAGATATTTAAAGCAACAGGAAGATGTTTAACCACATCAACTTCTGCTTCATAACAAGCCCTCATATGTCTATTCACAAATATTAAATCAATCCAACTTTTGTCAGATTGTCTATAAAGCTGATTAATGGATCTGTACTTAAAGAAGCTTCTGATAATATAATGTGCCACGAAGTGAAGTAATTATGTTTATGTTGTTAGAAATGGTAAGTTACAGTACACTCTATGGAGGGCAATCACTCTCCCAAAGACACAAGCTTTTTTTCAGATAATCGCAGTTAACACTTGATTAATCAAACTACATTAAAGCTTCAAGGTTAATCAAATCCTTTAAAAGGACTAAATAGAACAGCGGGCTACAATGGCACACATAGCAAGTTTTTCTCGAGTTCAATACAAATCTGCCTCGTCAAGTAAAAGCCCTCTCCTTTGTGTTGGCCATCAAAGAGGAAACAGACAGGAAGTAGCTGCCACAGGAAGTCCAGGCACGGAGAAGACTGAAGACCCCTGGGATCACAGCTCAGCACAACGTCACGGGCAGCACTGTTTATCTCTTCTCCAAACAAATTCAGTTAGCGATATGGGTTGCTACTCTGTAACAATTTATTAAGTTTCTACAGAGATTGGATTTGAGTTAATTAGCTTTGTCTTACTGTATGTGTTGTTGGGCCATTGTTTTTGGTCAATGTCCATGTGATATCCCACTTTTTACAATTTGTTATCACAAGATGAACCTGATGATACAAAATTCTTGCTGCAGTAACAGATTTGTTGGTGATGCGGCTGCAGCGGAAAGAGCTGTGATCTTAACACTGACAAATGATCAGAGTTTAAACTAATATGGCTAACTTGTTCAACTGTTCACAATAACACAACCAGCAGTTACAGATCAACATTATCCTTCATTTGGAGTAGTTATTCTTATCAACCAATGACTGTTTGTCCAAAATGAACTCTCCTTAAAGCTCTTTTTTTGGTCTCTAGCAACAACTGATTGAACTATCTTGCAATTTAGCTGCTAATGATCCACTTTACTGACCAATTAGCTGGTATACAAGCCTCTCTGTCACTTGGTGCTGGGCAGGTAGCGTACTGTACAGTCGGATTTTACAACTGCAGTCAAAACACCTATATAAGAGCGTTGAGGTTGAACAAACGCTTTCTGCTATCTGAGCTACGTTGGATGCTAACGTAGGTTACAAACTATCTCTCATAGAATTGTACAACATGATAGCTGGTGGCAAAAATGCACTGCATATCGTGATAATGTTTATTTATTTTCCTACTGTCTTAGTTAGTAGACATCATTTGAAGCAGTGTAACCTCAAAGCACAAAGTCATGAAAGTCACTGCACAGCTGTCAGATGATCAAAACCTAAAAGTCTATTATGCATTTTTACATTTAAACCAATCACTATTTGATTTAATTGTAATAATCCTTCCCTCTATAGCTGTAGAGGAAAACCAGTATTCTTTCCACCATGGCAGGAGAGGGAATACTCTCTTTGCTCCTCATGTTTTGTTTTAGTTGTTTTATGTTATACTGATGGAGAATTGCACATTCAGTCATCTAATAGCCTCTTCTGAAAGAGCGAAGGAAAGGCTAGTGTTGGTGACCTGTGGCGCTGGTTACATCACTGCTGAGATCTGAGTAACAGACGAGTCCAGATAAAATCATCGCTGCGTCTTTGCTGCAGCTGATTATGTGATATAACCATTTGGTGTAAACTCACAATTCAGATTGGGTTAAAACTACATTACATTACATTACATTACATTTAGCTGACGCTTTTATCCAAAGCGACTTACAATAAGTACATTCGACCAGGAAGATACAACCTTGAAGAAAACTGAATCATATAAGTACATCAGGTTTCATAGAGCCAACACATTTCAAGTGCTACTCAACTGGCTTTAGATACGCCAGTCCTTTATTAGTATATAAGTGCTCTCTTAGCAGTTCGTTGTTAGTAATTATATCGCTCGAAGTGGAGTCGGTTTAAAACTACAAATGATAACCACATATTGCTGTTGAGTGCCTTTATATTAAACCATGGCTGAGGTAAACAAATGCAAGACAGTGAGTGAGCTTAGTCCCAAAATAAAAAAGATAAGAGCTGTCCATGGATTGATTCTTAAAGCCTGAAAAAGCTGTTTTCACACATCAATGGGGAAGTTTGTCTTTACCCACTTAAAGGTCCCATGACATGGCCATTTCTACTGATCATAACTGGAATAGATTTCCAAACTCACATTGGTTTCTCATACAGCATCTCTGTATAGTATGTGTATTCACTCTCTGTCCTAAAAATGTTCTAAACTCACAGTGGCTTCTCATCCAGCATCTCTGTATAGTATGTGTATTCACTCTCTGTCCTAAACGGATTGTTGGAGCTCCTGCCCCTCCCCCCCTCCCTGTGAGCCCAGTGTGCTCTGATTGGTCAGCTCGCCCACTCTGTTCTGATGAGTCTACCACCGTTACAGCTGGACATCAGTGATGATGTGTTACAATGGCGTTAGCAACCAGAAAATGACACCAGTAATGACAAATAGATGAGAATGCTGCATGGGGTCTGGGTGCCGTGTTGGCGGGACGTTGCGAGGCTCGCTGCTGCGAGGAGCGGACAGTGTGAGCTGGGTTACTGGTGTGATTTCCTGGTTGCTGCGTGGGGTCGGCGAGACAGCGAGACGCAGCGAAGTCCAGCCCGAAACCAGCCCGAGCATACACACACATCCGCAGCCTGGTTGTGTGTCAGTGTGTATGCTCACACACAGACTCACAGCCTCGCCGCGTCCCGCCGTCTCCGCGGAGCTGCAGCTGAGAAAAGATTGAGTGCGTGTGTGTGAGGAACGGCTCCGCAGATTGGTCCATTTGGGTATGGTTACGTCACCATACCCAGGAAGAAAAAAATGGAAAAAGAAAAATCTCCAACGAGGCGTTCTTGGGCAGCATACAGGTATTTTCTGTGTTAGAGTTTTACTCGCTACAGGGTGTACTTTGAGGGTTTTGACTCTGCACACCGTTTACATGCAGAAAAAGCTTCATGACACACAAGGGGACGGGTAATAACCAGAAAAGCATGACATGGGACCTTTAACATGTGATTGTTTGGAGGCCAGTCGTGATACAATATACAACGTTAAACCTCCAGCACACATACACACGCGTAAACAAAAACAAATAGAGAATGGCTTAGAGGCATTTTTTGTCCTTTAGTTTAACTTCTGAACTGAATATTGCATATTCATAGATTTTAGATTTGTTTCGATAAGAGAAAGCGAGTAGATGTAATTCTAACAGTGTTGAACACTTACATTTGACTTTGTATGGAAAATCTGGCACACAAAACTTAAAGCAGAGTAGTTTTAAAACGTGTTTGGTGGGAACTTTAACATGACTTGATTACATGAGGCCAGCCATTAAGCACCGTTGTTAAAATCTGAGAAGCCCTTTGGTTCTGATGCCAGCATAAGACACATCAAGACAAAAATGTGGAGTCAGTAAAGCTTTGACTTTCATTACACACCCACTCACCACTATCAGACTACATCTTCACAAAGCATCTTAAAAGCCATCTGTTTTCTTTGTCCATCTTTTGATTCCAAACCTTTGACTCTGCGGGTTGTACATTTAACTGTGTTGCTTGTTTGTATATAGTGTCTTCTCTGCCCTTCTACTGTAAACCATTTTGATATATAAGTTTCCATATTAGTATTTCCTACTGCACACTGCATCTGTGGTCAGCACAACTGGGCTTATCCAATCCATCTCTCTGAAGTTTCAGTACAAACTTGCAGCTGATGAGAAAGTTGTTACATCCGAGCGCCACCAAATTCAAATCATCGCTCATCTGTCCAAACTAGGCCAAACAAGGCTGTGAGGACTGGTTATGAATTGGGCCACAGTTCTGGGAGCTGAAACTGTGTCACTACTGGGATGAGATTAAAAGGCGGCAGCAGTTTGCAGGTCTTGTTGAACTACATCATGTTGCTGTCCTCTACCTTGTGTGTCCCTCCAACATGTCATGCTCTCTGTGAGTCATGTGCAGCTCTATTTGGCACTCACTGTTGGATCAATGGGTGTGATTCAGCGGTCTGTCTTTTGATCTCTCTCTTTCTAGGTTTGTCTGTCCGTGTGGTGGCCACTTAGAGACTCACAGGGCTGTACATGGAGGAGCAGCTGTTTAAATCATTCATTAGCAGGAATAAACCTCTGGGCTGAGAGCAGGCTGCAGTCTTTATGAGGACAGACCGCTAAAGTACACTGAGGACAGATACAGGCCAGAGATCGGATACATTTCACGTATGAAGAATAATTACTGACACACATATCTATATAACTGGCTATTATACTGTGCATACAAGGGACTGTAGTAGAGATTAAACAATTACTCAATTGGTTCACCCACACTTAACGGTTTGGGAACCTTTTAAAAAATCCATTAAGACGATAATCAAGTAATTACAGAAAATGTCCTCATTTGAGCTTCTCAATAGTGAAGATTTGAGTTTTAAATATTTAGCCAGCCACAACATTTGAGATACAACATTAGGAACATGTGATGAAGATTATTGACTATATTCTGATGTGGCAAAATGCACAAGATAAACCACTTTAGAAAAGTTTGTAGAACATATGATTATTCCCATCTCCTGATTCTCTTGTTGCTTTTCGTCGAATGTGATAGTAAACCAAATGTCTGAGTTTTGGACTGTTGGTTAGTAAAAATAAACATATCTAATGCATCACTGAGGGCTCTAAAAAAGCATTCATCAACATCTTGATTACGATTTTGCTGCAAGTAAAAAAAACAAGTCACTTTTTTATTCCAGAAGCCATTAGATATACACCCAGAGCCAGTGTTTTTAATCTGTCTGTAGAATGACAAAGCATTTACACCAGTTGACATAATGTGTATTTGTATTTCTGAACACCATTCACCATTTCTTTCATATGTCATAGGGTAATGTTTTTTTTCGGCTGCATTTTATAGTAGTGAATGGATGTTTATGTGCCTTTTGTTTGCAAACTTGATTTCCTTAAAATGAATTAAATTGTAAGACATATTTGAGTGAAGCTACGACACAGATCATCAAACAGTACATCTCTTTAGTAAGAGTGTTATATAATAGCTTTACTCTCACTTATGGTGGGGATAATTAGCATAATTCAAGCAACAGGTTAGATCAATGTCACTGTGACATGAGCAGTGATATGACCTCTCACCCCCAGGTAGATACATGGAAAGAAAAATGCAGAAATGCACGTAAAAGGCCTAAAATACTTTTACTTAAGTTTGAAGTATGTCACTACAAGGATAAAGAGGACATCTTGTTTTTAAATGTTATGAATTGTCCTTGGGTGTTATGAAAGGCTCCTCCAAATAAAATGTATTATCATTATTTTTTTAGTGACCATTTTCTTCAATTGCTGCTATTTCACAGGATATACAGATATGGCAAGTGTTTCTATTTATAATAACAAGGAGGAAACATCAAGAAGTGTAATTGGGTTTGTCTGACAGTGAGTGTCTGATTACAAGCTGCTGTTTACTAAATATTCCCCCTGGTCCAACACGACATCAGTCCACATTATAACACATGCTAGATGATTATCTCCACAATGTTTTCCACTCATTTAATCCCGAGATGACAACGATTAAAGAGGCGCCACCTACCCGAGCCGAACGCCTTGGCCACCAGCCACGTCAGGCTGCAGGAGATCTTGGCCCTGGTGAAGTCGTAGTGATCGAAGCTCTTGATGGCAGGGACGATGAAGGTCCTCCTCATCCCTCTGTCATCTGTCGCATCTCCCATCTTCTCTCTCTCTCTGGAGCCCTGCTACACTGTAGGATCAGTCAGCCAGAGGAATTCGTCCTGACTGCGGATGACATCCCGTCCAGAGGAATTCAATGCAGCAAAAATTTCCCCTTCAGCTGACAAAAATGGAAGAAAAAAAAACTTTGAGCGTGGCCTGGGTTGGAGATCACGACGAGTTTTGGGGCGCTCCTCGTTTACAGCAGCACCATCCCCAGTTTAGAAGATATTTAGACAGCACGGCGCAGTTTAGCAGCAGGATTTCTGAAGATTTCCCCCATTCTCTGACGTTTTTCTCCTCAGATTGTCCGAAATAACGGAGCAGCTGTGCGTCAAAGGAGGAGAGCTACAGACCAACACCAGCGGACAGTTTCACACAGGAACTAACCACGCTGTTAGTCTCCATGTTGTTATTTCTTCTGTTTTCTAACTGTTTTCCCCTCTCCCTCCTTCCTATCTTTTTCCGCGGCGTCTTCTCTGCGCTTTCCTGCGGCACTGATAGGAGGATAGAGCTCACTGCGCATGCGCGATCCACCCACCCAGTCTACTCCGTCCTGACAGTCAGAAGTCACCACCATGTAACACAAACCGAGGGGACTGGAGCAGCATGGGGTTGTATGACTAATTCCCTCTATGCTAATTCCCAGATATTGTTTTAAAAAAGAAAGGAACAACCTTTTTAAGTATTTACAAAATGTTACCCTCCAGTTAAAAACGATTGGTTGATTGCAGACACATAATTTACATCTAGGATGCTGTGTGTTCTTTATTTTATATTACATCTGAAATACTTATTTATACAGTTTTAAATGTATGGTTAATTCTACAAGGCGCACTACACAATTTGCATATCAGTCCACTATTTTTGTTTTCTGTTGTTGGAAATGTCATAAACAACAAATTTGACCTATTTATTTGGTCATTGATCTTTTATCATGATATTTTAACTTTTTGATTTACTGCAACTAAATGTGAACCAAAGCTAGGGACTTATAATTGTAATATTGCTGATTGGTATACACAGATTATGTTAAGATCATTAAGATGTCAAGAAATGGGAACAAATGGTGATTTTGAAAACAAATATTTCTGGTAGACACATAATTTGTATTAGGTACGACTTTAGACACTTCAGTGAGAGTTTTAAGTTCATATCCCACCTCATGTATCTCTGCAAACTGTCAACGTTTCGTGGACTTAAAAAAGGTCTTGTTTTTGCTTCATTACAGTGCAAAGTTACAATATTTAGATTTAAAGGGGTTAAAAAAATGAAACAGGCAAGATCAGTTTCTTATATTTTTTAAATATGTCAGTGCAATGCACAGACTCATATGGGCAGGACAAAGAAACGAGACATCAACCCCACTCAGAGTCAATCCTGTGTAAGGGCAATAAGCACATGCCCGAAAGTCCTGCACTTAGATATGTGTTCAAACTGAATAACACAGTGTGCAAGCCTGCTGACATAAGCAATTCTGAACAAATAGGATGCCCCTATCGTTGGAAAAAAAGTGTGTCTCTTTAAAAACAAAAACATTACAATTAAACTCATGAAATGGAAAACTATTGTTAAAATGTATTCGGAAGAATTAAAAAAAATCGAAATAAACTTTAACATGAAATGTTGTCGCAGGCTGAAAGATGATATAAAAGTCGAGGTTAAAGGATAGAAATTATCATAATTATCGTTTAAAGTTCTTACAACTTGATCGGATAACCAAAAACGTTTTAGTTTTACAGTTAATATAATATAAAACTGTACCTTACACAATGATTAAAATATGCGTACACATAAAAACACAAATGTTGGAAAATATTCAAATTTAAGATTTTATTGAATCTCTTTTAGCTTTCAGATATCAGAACAGTGGTGCATTTGGTTGACCCTGCACTTCAGAGATCTTGTGAAGGGCAACAGAGAGCGCATGACAACGCTGCTCCCTGGTGTCTTCAGTAGGATCATACAGCTGCTTGGATCAGGAATTGTACATCACATTTCGGTCAGTAGATGGCAGTCCTCTGCTAAATATTCCTCTGATGCTTTGTTCACGAGACTCTCTTTAAAGCTCTCCTGAAATCATTAAAATGTCACTGAATAGAATTGTCTTTCACCAACAGGTTTACATTTTACAGCTCTGACATGTTAGTGTTCAGACCATAGGTTCAGACAAATGTTTTTTTTTTTTTCTCAGTTTCACAAAATATATTGACCCCAGAAAATTTCTATTTCCTCCAAAGATTATTAGAAAAACAGGATTCAAATTGATTGGAGACTTTGACCTGTCTCACATGTACACAGCACGGCACACAGTGACATTTAGACCCTGACCTTAACACATCTTAATATTAGGAGCAGTCTTCATCTCTGTTAATGGAATCATCTCTGTCTGCTTGTCCATCCGAACCAACGTTCATTCGAGAGTCATTACCAATCATTATGTACTTTGCGTTATTAATGTGGATTTGTGGCTGTTCTGGTGGCCCTCTAGGGCCGAGGTGAAGTTCCTGTTCCAATAAAAACCTCAGGTTATCTTTCTGCAGCAGCTCTGCTTTTGTACGCTCACAAATGAATAGCTTTTGGGACCTATTTAAGTTCTTCAGAGTCTCCTGTCTCTGCATCTGCATTTTCATTTTCTGATCTGTATTCCAGATATCCCTCTGTTTTTTTATTTTCGCTGGAGAAAATACCCTTCGTACTTTCCTTTCAAAGTTCCTATTCTCGTCGAGTGTATTTATTGTCCTCAAAACCATAGGGAAGCTATCTTTAGGCAGGCTGTTCTCCCTTGGCAGGAGAGGAATAACTGTGCCATCTTTGTTTGTCTTATATATGGAGTTAACAAGAGCAGAGTCTGCCTCCATCATTTGCATGCGGTCGAAGTTGCGGGTAAGCAGCAGAACAGTGTAGGCCGAATTGTCGATAGCATCTTCCACACTCCTCAGAGTGCTCCTCCCCGGAACAGCAAATTCCCCAGAAAAAGTTGCACCCTCAATATGAATGACCTCTTCCAGCCTTTCCTTCATGCTTTCAGCCACATCTGCATCTTCAGCTGCGTGGAAGATAACAAAAGCGTAAAAAATTGGCTCTTCCTCCACCTCTGCACCTTCACTTTCATGCACTTCCTTTGGAGCAGGCATCTTGGGTAGAGAATCGCTGGTTGCGGTGGGTAATGCAAATGTTGGTTCAGTGGTTGGTTTGGAGGTTTGGTGAAAAGTCTCTTTGCGAGTGATAAGACTGTCCAACTCACCGCCCTCTGCGGCTCCCTCCATCTTTAAGGGTTTCTTCGCACCAAACATCGGAGGTTCACTGGATTCAGGCTGAGAGGTTTGAGATTCATCAACTACGAGGGCAGGGGTGTTTATTTCGGAAGCACCTGATGTTTCTGGGGTTACTCTGTTGTATGAGGCTGTTGGGGGTAAACTTATCTCCAGATGAGTGGGATATGAGGGCATTGAAGAGGTCGCCTGCAGTGGACTAGGCAGACTGTAAGCTCTCTCGGACTGATCTTGAGACAGGTCTACTTTTAAAGTTGTACTTTCTTTATCCGGGGGGCCATGGGGATCCTGGTCAGACATCGGTTTCTTCGAAGAGCACAACCACTCTGCAAACTGAGGCCCACAGACAACTTTAGCTTCCTCCCTAAACTTGTCGTACTCCAGGTACTCACAGTTGCTTGTTTTCTGATTGTCACTTGAAAGGGCTCTCTTATACGCCAGATTTCTCAGACTTGTATCACAAAGCCTCTGTTCTGATAAAACCTTGAAAATACGAGCCAACAGTGCCAAAGATTCTCCTGTAAACTCTTGCAAATGACCACAACGAGTGGCAAAATCTTCTAATTTGCCTGCACTCATCTGCCACTTTTCAGTCAGAAGTTGAGCAAGGAAGTTGTTTTTCAGCATCTGGAGTTTGTTCAGGGCCCGCTCCTCTTTCTGGAGAACGATCAGACATAGGGCATGTATGATATTGTCTTCAGGAAACTCACCCAGCTGGAATGTCAGACTTAGCAGTCGATTCGGCGGTGCTTTGATCACTATGTCGAAGACGTCTCTCAGTCCTGTCCCCTGACTTTCTTGTCCCACGTGACTCATTTTCAGGTATGACGTGCTGCAATATCTTCATTCTATGACAGAAGCTGACAGGATCTCACGTTATTTTTCAATATATTCTTATTATTTTCTTCAAAAACTTGAGTTTCTGAGGAGATTTCATTGACGTTCTTGTTTCTGTAAAGAGATCAAATCAACAAACTTCAGAATGCATGCAATTTTGATCACAACATGTTGGGATGTTGTTCTGACTAAATGTCAACAGAAAAGTAATTTATTTGTTTTTTATAAGCACCGCAAGTGACATTTAACAGAACCACCAAGATCAAAATGACTCTTATCAATCATACACGTTATGACATTACTCACCGGCCTGGAATTAATGGAGTTTGAATAGAGTTTGTGTTTCCAGTTCAAACAAGGAAGTAACTCAGAATCTCTTTTCCTGCTCAGTTCAACCAGTAGAAAACTATTTTCTCCAAACAGGAAGCCCTTAGTGCACATTTGAGATAGACGCTGTTGGTGAGTCTTGACAAACTTTCTGTAAAAAGGTGGTCAGAAACCGTACCTGTGTCAGTTGCAGGCCTCTGCAAACATGGAAAACGTTTACATAATGATGACGTCACAGCTTGTAAGTAAGGGAGCTCATGAAGGACAAAAGACAAAAGCAGGAAAAAGTCAAAACATAAAAGAAAAAAGCACAAGACAAAGTTGAACCAACCTTTAAAAATGCTATCACAGACAATCACCAGCTTTTCTGCTAACCTCTACAAAATGTACTTTGTGACACTCAGTCAACTTTTCAATTCCCTGATTTGTCACAACTCTGCAAATCTACAACAAAAAACGTACTTGTGTGTAGAAGTCTTTTAGTTACTTGTGCACAATTGCCGCAGGAGAGAAAAGTATTCTGAGTTTTCTTCCCCCTCTGCTGAGAGGCAAGTGTATTTTTATCCACGGAGGAAACCTCCAACCCTGTATTTACCAGGGGTGGGGTCACACCAGGCAGAGTGCAAGCCAGCATCAAATCTCTCACTACAGTGCAGACAGAGAGCCTCTCTGTTAGGGCTGAGTACAGCGTGATATGTTTACTGTACGACCACTTCTGAGGGATTACTGTAACTCCATAGGAAGTGTGGTTTCTATGTTTATTGTGGCACTAGTATATATGTATGTATGCATCTCTCCAGAAAAAAGCAGCTTCCAGTTGATCTATATTGCACATGCCAACAAGACCACAGCTTTGTTGTTTCTTTCAACCCTATAGCTAACAGTATAGCTATAAGGGACTGTGTTAAAATGATATGGGGTCAGAAAAGGTTCTTGCTATGAGGACAGTAGTTTGGCTTTTTTTCTGGGAGAGCAGGGGGTTTCATTTTTTATATCAAGGGTTAGAGTTACTGTGATTTGGGACTGCATTTGTGACCAGGACTGGTGTTTGAAGGCA